CCGGGGGGGGGGGGTGGCCGGAAAAGGCCCCGGGGGGGGGGGTATGACCAGGGGACCGCGGAGCCCCGGACCGCGCTCTCCCGTCCGGAGCCCATGGAAAGGGGCGTCGTTCTTCGGGGGGGGCAACGAGGAGGAAGAGGGGATGGAGCCGAGCGCCTACAGCGGCAGCAGCAGCACCGTCAGCACCAGCAGCAACGGCAGCAGCGGCAGCAGCAAGTACGTGGCGGCGAAATCGAGGGGAGCTCACAGTCCCGGGCCGAACGGACCCCGCAGTCCTCTCCGGGTCAAGGTGGACTTCGTGGATCAGCAGGAGGCGGAGGAGGAAGAGGAACGCGCTGCTGCTGCTGCTGCGGCGGCGGCGTCAAGCAAGCAGGCGAACGGCGGGTGGAAGAGCCCTCTCAAGAGCCCGTTCAAGGGTTTGTTCTTCGGTGGCGGTAGCAGCCCCAAGAAGGGTGCGCAGGCGGGGGGGGTCACGATCGGCACGGAATAAAAATTACATGATGGCGGTAAAATTAAAGTGTGATAAAAAGGTAAAATACAACGTGTTGTCCTTTCTGTTGCGGGTTTTCGTTTGATGGGAGGTGCCGCGAATTGGTTGTGTTCACTCCTCTTGACATTTCGACCTGGTGGTATGGTAAAATTGCTTGTTGACTATGCAACGGTTCGTCTGCTTTTGGCTAGCAAGCGTGCGGCGTAAGACAAAAATAATAGCTGGCCACGCACCGGCCATCCCTGCCGTTATTCGACATGTCGACATGCATCCAACGACATGCCAATCAACGACGCTTGGTGGCCTTCTTCTTTCTTGAGTGAATTTCAGCTTTCAAGTCTCTGGTGAAACTAAGTTAATTGAGTAGCGCTTTCTTAAGGCAATGGAATTTATCAAACCGATTCATTTTGTTTTGTCTCTGCTCTTTTCTCTCCTTGGAGAGTATGTCGGCAAAGGTAGGCGGAGAAGAGTTTGTTTATGGTTGGTTGTCTTTTGTCTTTCGCAGGTGGCAACACGTCGTGTACTGCTGTAGTTGGCGTACATGCAGCAGCAGGGTGCATGCAGTGTTCCAAGCCAGCGCTCTGTAGGACCAATTGTGTGATATCTGTACGTGTGCGTTAGTGGGCGTGGGTTCGTTCGTACCTTTCGTTTGACTTGACGGAGCCCATGAATTGGTTACTTGATGCCCATTTATGTAGAGAAAGGATTATTTGTTGCGCCAGTTTGGACAATGCTATGTTTGTTTGGCGGTTTGATACTGCCGCGTATTTCGAACACTGGCGCGGGAAGGGTTGTTACTGAGTAGATTTCGCCCACTGGCAAGTGTTGGTTCGGTTTTCCGCCCACGCGGAACCGGGGTGCGGGTGCGGGTGGGGTGGGGTGTGATTGTTGTGTTTGGTAGGGGGTGGGGGGTTGTGAAGGCGATGAATTAATTCAATCGAAACACAATTATTTCTTTTACACGACACATATTTCTCAAGACTTTATGTTACCATCATCCATCCGTGCAAGGGATGGCGGGCCATGTCATGGTTACCGGCGTGCTCTCTGTTGTGTTGCGTCACACGTTGCGTCGAATGTAAATGATCACGACACAACACCCGTCATAGCAATAAGTGTCTTGAATTGACACCTTCAACGTCGATCGATGTGGTTGATTCATCGACAATCGACCAGGGCGTGACGTTCATTGGTGGCATACCATCGATCAGTTCATTTGTGACCACAGAATGTGTCCTCGTCGGTTGGACTGGTACAGACAGAGACATGCATGCATATAGACGGGCGATAACAATAAGTAAGGTACTGAACTGAGAGAGGTACAAGGAACAGGTTAATGTGGAGACAAGATGTTAACTCCAGGAGTAAGAACGGGCATGCATAAGCAACAACTCTCTTACTACCCAAACACAGGAGGACACTAAACAAACACACCCTTCTACTAATGTAGCATGATGCTCCCCTGTACTGCATCGCACATATATATTCGCCGATCTGCCTGGAACCAAAGACCATCCAACATACATAGAGGAAAAATTCGAGCCTTCCAAGAAACTGCGATCGACATCTCACCACATGAATGGACACTGACTACTACAGATACACACGTTAGGGAAGGTTGGCTCAGCGAGACAACACCACCTAAGTAAGGTATCCTAGACTAGTGTTGTCCTTCCTAGTATAAGACCACATGTATGTATTGTGCCGAGGGATTCGGCCGGCCTTGTACAGCGGGCACCCTGCACTACAATCGCTCAGGTACAGTGTGACATCCATCTTCTGTGGTACGCGATTTCACCGGTTTATACAGGGGGGGGGGGGGGGGTGACCGGGCTTTTCTTCTTCTGTACGATCCTAGTCTCTCCCACGAGCGCTGCACCCCCTTGGAGAGCCAACCGCAGAAGAAGAAGTTGCAGCACAAGAAAGCCCTGGGTACAGCTTGTTGTCCCAAAAAGTTAGCTCGTCCTAGTTTCCCCAACGAGGCAGTACTGTAGTTGGTGTTTTCGGTGCTCACTCGTGCGTTTATGTCGCGCCGTGCACTCTCCCCCATCACTATCAGTATGTCCTTCTTCTTGTTCATCACGATACCACCAGTAGCCATCAGTAAGGTTCGTGGCCGTATTGCTCCGCCCCACCAGAGTAGTCATAGTCATAGTCATACTCGTACGCCGCCGCATCGCCGCCATCACCATGATGAGCACCACCGCCGCCACTGGTATCCCCCCAACCTGTTGGCTCTACGATAGCCATCACTTCATTCTGCGCCGCCACTCCCCCGCCCCCCGCCTCTTCCACCTGCACAACCATCACACACCCCCCCCCTACCA